AGTATATATAGCTCAATATTCTCTGGTCAGTGACAGCAATATCTATTTATTTGTGCAATTACATGCTGCCATTCCAAAGGGAGGGGGGGAAGGTAAATTTTATAATATAAAACTAAAAAGTAACATTAAAGCTATATGCTAAAATCTTTAAATCTTTAGTTTTTACTAAAATTTCAACCTTTCAACACAAATTTTTTTTCCCAAATCTATCAGAAATCAAACCAAATAAATTCTAAATAAAGCTTAAGTTCCACGATAAACACCACTTTTTAAACTTTGTATATTAGGCAATGGCTGGAATTTTCATGTGCCACAATTCAGCTGCTGGCCTGAAGCTTTGCTATTGTTGTAAACACTATAAAACATGGATTACATATGTAGGATAGAAATGGATTATATTGTAAAGTTTTTAATATTTTTTAATGATTTTGATGCAGAGGTTCCCTGAAACCTTAAAATCATTTCAAGAACTCCTCTGGGATAAAAAGGTTGAAAAAGGCTGCTGTGAAATATGCTGAATTATTCTGGAATATAATATTTTTCTTAAAACCGTAACATGTGTATCCTCATTCATGCATGAATTGCTTCAGGCATCAGAAGCTGTGTCAAAAGTATTGTGCCTGGCAATTTCTTAATTTGTTGATTCTTAATTTCTTCTGTAGCAACATAGTAATAGTTTAGAGGTAGTCTATGATTTATAACCATTCATTTAGTGACGGTTCAAAGATACAGCAGCGTGAAAAAAGGGATGACCTGTTTTCACACAACCACTGTAGCATCTCCACGGTCACATGATCAAAATTCAAGCTCTTGGCAACTGGCATGTATTTGTGACAGTTTCACTGTCCCAGAGTCACATAATCACCATTTATAACCTTCCCAACCTTTTGACAAGCAGCCAATGGGGGAAGCCAGACTGGCACAACGACCACATGATCCATTTAACCGTTGTAGTGATTTGCTTCACAACATTGGCAAAAAAAGTTGTAAAATGAGGCATGACTCGCTTAACATGTGCCTTACTTAGCAACGGAACTTTAGGCTGAATTATGGACATAAGTCATGGACTACCAGCATTGTGTGATGTGAAGAGAAGGCAATTATCCATGGATCTAATGCTTGCAAACTCCCATCATATAAATCCAAGAAGTTTGGTAGGAGTGTGACAACTAAATGTAACTCCCAATCTCCCATTTTTCTCACATTACCCAAATAATTTTAAGAAATTATGAAAGGAATCTTTATCTTTTAAATAAGATGGGGAGAGGCAAGGGGAACAACTTCATTATTTATCTAATCTCCTATACAGATCTTTATCATAATATCCTCATATATTCAAGATACATCATGACCATACTTTATTCCAATCACCCACCTAGACGTCTTCAGTATCCAAATATGGATCTTCTAGAACAGTGGCGGTGAACCTTTTACTCACTGAGTAAACAGGTATGTGCGTCGTGCACGCACATGCCATCCGCACTAGCGCGCGGCTCCTCCCCATACACTGCGCGTACAACCACACCATCTGCACATGCGCATGGCTTTCGTGTGTGCCCCCCGTTTGCTGTGCGCACAATCACATCACCTGCGCATGTGTGCAACTTTCATGCGGCTCCCCCATGCACTGCATGCACAATTGCACCATCTGCACATGCGTGTGGTCTTTGCACACACAATGCATGCACATGAACACCGTCTGTCCATGCATGTGCTGCATGCAAGTACTCTCACATGCTTGTGCAAACGCGTGCACATGCGCAGAAGAGCTCTGAAGACCAACCAGTCCCCCTGAATTGCGCACAGGGACACGGGAGGCCTGAACACCAGCTGGGAGCATGCACAAATGTGCACCTGCCGGTGAGTTGGGCGACAGCTCACATGCCTGGAATGATGGCTCTGCGTGCCACGTCGGGCACGTGTGCCATAGGTTCGCCATCACAGTCCTAGAAGAATGGTGCCTTACTTTTAACTACCTTTAATTCTGGGCAAGCTATAGTGACAAATTAAACCAGCTTTAAGAACCATAAAAACATTCAAAAGGTAAAAAAAAAAAGTTTAAGTTCTACTATCATCTAAAAACTAGCTGGCTCAAAAATGCACATTCTTGAAAATCACAATGAATCAGGGATTTCTGAAGAAAAGAAATTGAAACCTGACAGCATGATTATACATATTATTTAGTAACTTAAATTCAATTGGATTTATTCCCAAGAAAATAAGTATTGGACCTTTCTAATAGTCAAAATTGGTGAGAGGTATGCTTTGTACAGTAGTTTGAGAGACCGAGATTGCAGTTCTGCATCTTATTCAAAGTTACGTTGACTGAATTCTATTAATGTCATTATACTATATCCATTATAATCATTTTCTGCAAAGCATTTGGCAGCGCCAAAAGATGAGCTAATTCATCTCTTACAATCTTTATTTACAATTCTGGACCCGCTGTAAATTTAAACCGAGCAAATATTTAGGATCATGGTAAAACAATGAGGAATCAATTTTCAGTTTTCCCTCGCAAACCTTCTCTGTTCTAATTCTGGAGTTCCAGAATTAGGAGCTCCAGTCCTATTCAATTTATCAGAAGCTCTCATGCCCTTAATGAATCTAATCCAGCTGCAATATTGATTCTCAGTTTCATGTGCTACTTTTAGAAAATACCAATTTTTTAACAAGAATAAAAAGAGATTGCAAGAAATGCCCTATTTGCATTATATCACTCCTACTACATATTTAGATGTTTATACATGATAAAATAGGAAATACTAATGCTCTGATGGTCATTTTGAAAAATCCTTTCTTAGTGAGCACCTAGAAGCCAAGAGGAACATATGTGGCAAATTTCAAGTTTGTAGGCTTTACGGTTCTGGAGATTTTGTGATGATGTGAGAGTGATTATTTCGCTTTTATATATAGAGATTAGTGGGAAATAAGCTCCATTGAAGTTAATTGCCATATTAGAACAGGGTTATATAGGACAGTGTTATTCACTTTAAACAAATATAATAACAGTCAGAATTTAAGCATTTACCAGCTCACAAAGGTAGTCTACCTTTCTTTCCTTCTCCTTCATAAAAATGCTCCATAGCTAAAAGTAGAGGTAGCCAGTAGTCATTTTAAAACTAACACAAGGCATAATACATTTTATATCAAGAGGACCAAAATAGTATATATTAATCACATCAGGATGCCAACAGATTCTAAGCAATCAACACTTAGAAATCTAATAAGGTTGAAGGAGAAGTGGAAATATTTTAGACTTGTTTGTAAAATAGATTTGACTTAGCGGGCTTGCTTATTTCTTCCCTTTGTTTTGTAGATGTATTTTTACTGGATTGACTTTATGTTCTCATGTTTTGCTTGAACTTACATTTTGCAATTGTTAGCGTTCCTATTAAGCACTATTTGCTATCCTATGACCAAATCTAGGCTAGACTGACCTAAACAAAAAGTCATTCCTGAAATTAACTACTGTCAACACCATATGGATGATGTACTATGTGTCATTTTAGACGATGTTTTACATGAACATGCTGATTTATGAAGGATCCAAATGATGTCCTGTATTCATAATCTGCCATCTTTCCTTAACATTTCCACTATCTGACTTGCAGCCTCATTCCAACTGAGTCAAGACTGCAACTCCCAGAATTTCCCTTTGGCCATTTTGATTGAGAATCTTAGAAGTTGCAGGCCAAGTCAAATAGACTCCTCCAGGTTGGGGAAGGGCATGAGTGCTACCTCTATGAAAGGCATTCCACCTTTAATATTTTGTTTTTCTTCTGAAAAGGAAAAAAAAAACCAAACAAACCCAGAGAAACGCAAGGCTACCTATCCATTCCATTCATTAGATTTGGTAAATGAAAGGCAGCACTATTCTAAATTAAACCCTCAGCTTAAACCCTCTATGTTCTGTCAGCAAGACATACACAGGTAATCCTTGATTTACAACAGTTCATTTAGTGATTGTTTAAAGTTACAACAGCACAGGGGGAAAAAAGTGGCTTATGGTTGTTTTTCACACTTACGACCATTGTAGCATCCTGATCAAAATTCAGACCCTTGGCAACTGACTCATATTTATGACGGTTGCAATGTCCCAGGGTCATGTGATCCCCTTCTGCTACAAACAAAAGTCCATGGGAAAACCAGATTCACTTAAGCCAGGGGTGGGCAAATATGGCCCCTTTATGACCTGTGGACTTCAGCTCCCAGAATTCTTGAGCCAGCTTGGCTGTCTCAGGAATTCTGGGAGTTGAAATCCACAGGTTGTAAAAGGGCCACACCTGATTTAAGCCAACCGTATTACTCTCTCCCCATAGCTGCAGTGATTCACTTAACAACAGGGGGGCAAGCAAGGTCGCTAAATGGAGTAAACCTCACTTAACAAACCTTTCGCTCAACCACAGAAAAAGATTGGGCTGCATTGAGGTCGTAAGTCGAGGACTACCTGTATGTTGTCAAGAGCACAGAAATATAGAATAGAATAGAATAGAATTCTTTATTGGCCAAGTGTGATTGGACACACAAGGAATTTGTCTTTGGTGCATACGCTCTCGCTGTACAGAAAAGAAAAGATCAGTTCATCAAGAATCATAAGGTACAACACTTAACAATAGTCATAGGGTACAAATAAGCAAGCAGGAAACAATATCAATATGAATTGTAATATATTCTTGCAGCCAACGTTAGGATGATGACGGCAGCGGCGGGCATCATGAGACAGCTGAACGGGTTCTTCCTACTGAAGTTCCCAGCGCCCAAAACAGATCCTGAAATTGATTCAGGGATATTGTAAAAAAAAAAAAAAAAAAACCTGACCCCGGAGAAAGGATCCCAGGAGAAGAGAGAAGGGAAGAAATCCCGCTCTCCCCCCTTCACACTCCATCTTTCCCTCTCAACCGGTAGCCGCGGGGATTACAGCATCAGTTCCTCGCTGCCGCCCAGGTGGTACCTTGCTTAGCCGGGCGGTTCGGTCCCAGATGCCCCCCCCGCCTTACCAGCTTCGTGCTCGCCAGGGTTGTCCGAGATCTCGATGACCAGCAACTCCCTGCCTTCGAAGCTCCGGCCCACGGTGTAGATCCGACTGATGGACGGGCACTGCAGCCACACCGACACCAGCGCTTCCCGCAGCTCCGGGTAGCGGTGATACTCGAAGGAGATGCCGTCCTCTTGGCTCAGGCGCCGCCGCCGGTTCGCCCCTCCGCCCAGAGCCGCCGGCGCTTCAGGTTCGTCCGCTTCGGTCTCCTGTAGGCAGAGGCTGCCCGGCAAGGCGCAGAGCGCCAACGCCAGCGCCCAAAGCCGACCTCGCCCGGCCATGGCTCGACTGCAGGGCAGGGAGGGGGGGAAAAAAAGGAGGACGGCGCCTTCCTTCTGCCGGGATCAACCAGCCGCCTCTCCTCTCCGGCGTCCCCCGTTAGCCACGCCGAGCTCAACTCGGACTCGCCGTCCTCGCTAAACTAAACCTGCTCCATTCAGGAAAAAAGGGGAGGCAGAGTCCGATGCGCTAAGCCCTGCAGCCCGTACGACTCGCTCCGCAGCTGAAGGGGAGACGCAGGATGTACCACTATTCCACGTAGGGGGAGGCTGGGTGACGTCCTGCCACGCTGGTGTCGAGCGAAGGAGCCGCGTGGAAGCCCTGAGAGCGTCACTCGCCGGGAGGTTGCTCTTCGGGCTTGAAGGAGGCCCACCCGCTATACCGGTGTTTCTTAACCTTAACCCAGCGCTGGCTGGGGGATTCTGGGAGTTGAAGTCCACCCATCTTCAAGCTACCAAGGTTGAGAAACACTGCGCTATATGGTGTCATATCTTTCTGGTGCCAATGATGGTGGCGGCGTAAAAAAGATATTATATAGGAATGGAGGCTTGGTGAATGTTCGGAGGACATCAGGAAGTCGGCCAGGCAGATCTCTTTAATCCAAATGCCTTGCAAATTGGATAGTGGTACAGGGATAGGGCATCTTATGCACGCCCAGGATGGCTCTTGTCTTGCCCAAAACCATGCCCTAACTCAGTGTTTCTCAACCTTGGTAGCTTGAAGATGGGTGGACTTCAACTCCCAGAATCCCCCAGCGCTGTTGGCTGGGGGATTCTGGGAGTTGAAGTCCACCCATCTTCAAGCTACCAAGGTTGAGAAACACTGCCCTAACTAGAGTGATGTTTCTTAGGATGCCACATACCTCAGTTATTTCCACCTACACAAAGGGCCTACGTGGTGGGCTTTGTTTTTGACATGGGAAGACAATTGTTCGATAAAATATTCAAAACCATTTCCATCTTGTTGAGTCTGTCGACTGTCTGGTTTGGTTCTGCAACCCAACAAGACAGACAGGGATTTCAGAGGATAATTAGAACTGCAGAAAAAACAATTGCTACCAACCTGCCTTTCACTGAGGACCTGTATACTGCACGAATTCAAAAAGAGGGCTGTGAAAATATTTACAGACCCCTCGCATCCTGGACATAAACTGTTTCAACTCCTACCCTCAAAACGACGCTATAGAGCACTGCACACCAGAACAACTAGATACAATAACAATTTTTCCCGAAAACCATCACTCTGCTAAACAAATAATTCCCTCAACAGTGTCAAACTATATACTAAGTCTGCATTACTATTAATCTTCCCATCGTTCCTATCACCCATCTCCTCCCACTTATGACTGTATGACTGTAACTTTGTTGCTTGTATCCTTACGATTTATATTGATTGTTTCCTAGTATGATTTGATTGATTATTTGTATCCTATGACTATCATTAAGTGTTGTACCTTATGATTCTTGACGAATGTATCTTTTCTTTTTATGTACACTGAGAGAATATGAACCAAAGACAAATTCCTTGTGTGTCCAATCACACTTGGCCAATAAAGAATTCTATTCTATTCTATTAAAAAGTACGCCCTGCTAGCAAAAAGTAGGCATTGTGAAGATAGAAGAGCTGAATCCTTCTCTCCTGGTACATGCCTTTGATTCCATTCCAGACCATTTTACTAGGTTTTAAAAAATGAGTTCACTCAATGAACTCAAGAAGAATTCATCACAGAATCAATGAAAAAAAGGTTAAATTTTCATCTCCTTCCAACTCTTTTTGATATTAGAATCTGATCTTTTCAGGTTTCCTACATGATAGGAAATAAAGGTTCAGGCAAAAGCTCTTCCCTCCTTAGTTTTACTCAGAGTCATAGAATTACAGTTACAAGGCGTCTAGTCGTTTAGAGTTAACTAGACATCACAACAGGACAGATGCTGCTGTTCAAAAGCTTTGGTTGTGTTTCTACAGAGACCAGTAACAGAAATGGAAACTAATAAGGCCATGTTTAGTCTATTTCCAACATAATGACTAGTACTGGAACAGTTACACAAAATCTATTTCATTAATACACATTTGAAATATTAATTCATTTATTAATATTGTTAATTATTTTTTATCTTAGTATGCTATGTTAATCTAACCACTTTAATTTATAATAGCAAAGTGGTAGGCAATTTTTTAGTAGCCCACTACTAATTATAACATTTTAGAATGGCCCATATCATAAATAGGGACAGGGCCTTTTCAGGGATTGAAGTTTGGAAATTTTGGTGTTTTTGTTTTAACTGTGATATTTCTCTTTCAGGGTTTATGCTACAGTTCTCATGCCTTTCCAATCTTAAAATGTTGAAAAAGTAATGCTGATTATTAATGTTGACTAGTTAACAAATGCATTTGTATCAGGGGTGGATTCTAAAATTTTTTACTACCGGTTCTGTGGGCGTGGCTTATTTTGTGGGTGTTGCTTGTGGGGGGTAATGTGACTGGGTGGGCATGGCCAACTTTTTTTTTTTTTACTTTTACTTTTAAAAACATTTTTTTCTACAACCTTAAGAGGTTGCAGAAAAAAATGCTTTTAGAAACCTCTGACGATCAGGCAAATCAGCTGGGATCACCAGAGGCTTTTAAAGGCCTTTTTTTTCCTACAACCTCTTCGGCTGAAGAGGTTGTAGAAAAAATGCTTTTAAAAGCCTCTGAAATCCCAGCTGAGCCGCGCGATCATCAGAGGCTTTTTTTTTAACTTTTAAAAGCATTTTTTCAGCCAAAGAGGTTATAGAAAAAATGCTTTTAAAAGTTAAAAAAGAAAAGCCTCTGATGAGCGGCAACCGGGCCGGGGACCGGTTCGGGGGCGTGGCTAGCCAATGTTATTACCAGTTCTCCAAACTACTAAAAATTTTTACTACCAGTTCACTGATTTCTATCCTTTAGAAGATTTTTTTTTTACTACCCACCACTGATTTGTATCCTTTAGAAGAAAATTCTGGTCTGCTACTGAGCCAGAATGACACTGGACATGCTGCTTGGAAAGGAAGAAATTCTATGATTATTTGGGAGCATGAATGACAACACTCAAAGGTAGGATAACAATTTGGTCATATTTATAGGTAGAGTGGTTCTTTGAAGCGATGTGTCAGAAGCGGAATTCAAATTTTTTTACCACGGTTCTGTGGGCATGGCTTGGTGGGTGTGGTGTGGCTTGGTGGGCATGGCAGGGGAAGGATACTGCAAAAACTCCATTCCCACCCCACTCCAACCTTCCATCAGTAGATCCTCCTGTTGTGAGTCTATCTTCCTCGGCTGTCTTGTCATCTGACGCTGTGGAGGTGTTGAAAGCTGATGAATGTAAGACGGAGGTTTCCTTCCGTAAAACGCACCAAGCCGCGGCCTGGGCGGTGAAAGCTGCAACATCCACCTCATTCTTTAACAGAGCCACCTTAATATGGCTTCAGCAGTTGCAGGAGAGGTTGCCACCGGGGGACACCAGAATTGCCCAGGATTTCAACAAATTGGTGGCCGCTACGGAATATTCGGCGGACGCATCCTTGGATGCGGCCCAGTTTGCAGCCAGGGCCATGGCTTCTTCCATCTCCTCACTTAGACTTCTGTGGCTTAAGCCCTGGAAGGCTGACTCCAAATCAAAGTGGAGATTAGAATCTGCCCCTTACCACGGGTCCTCTTTATTTGGGGCAGCATTGGATCCAATTTTAATAGAAGGGAAAGATAAACGTAAGGTCTTGCCTGTTTCTTACAGTAGGCAAGAGCGCAGGTTCACACCTTATAGTCAAAGGCAGCCCTTTCGGACAGAGTCAGGGCCCAGGGGGTCCTATTATGGTCGACAGTATTCACAAGGATATTCACAAGGATCCGACCGCTTTGCAGGAAGGCAGGGCAATAGTGACAGAGGGAGGTTCCAATCCTCTTCCAGACGACCCTTTAAGGGAGCCGGAGCCGGACCCCGTTCTTCCAGAAAGGGAAAATGACTCCCTCGAACCTTTCCCAATTGGGGGGCGGCTTCTTCACTTTCTTCCCCAATGGGAGACTTCCACTTCCGACCCTTGGGTTCAAAATCCCCATTCCCTCCCCACTCCAGGGGGAAGGATACTGAAAAATCCCCATTCCCTCCTCACTCCTGGGGAAAGGATACTGCAAAATCTCCATTCCCACCCCACTGTGGGGCCAGCCAGGAGTGGTATTTGCTGGTTCTCTGAACTACTCAAAATTTCCACTACAGAACCTGTCAGAACCTGCTGAATAGCACCCCTGGGGTGTGTGATTCTGTTCTTTGAAGTATTTATTCTGTCCGATGTGCAGGTCCAGTGGAGAGATGTTCTAATATGTCTTTTACTAAATGTGTAGATCTTCTTGATTTGTGCCTACGTGTTAAGGCATGCTACATCCGTGTGTTAGGAACATTCTGTATTGTAGAAGATTTTCCTCCTCTGCTACGGTATTATTTGCGTAGTATAATTAGTTTAGTCTCATTACACTTATTTATTTATTTATTTTATTTTATCAGATTTCTATACCGCCCTTCTCCTTTCAGACTCAGGGCGGTGAACAGCCAAAGTAAAACATTTGCACACAAAAGTTAAAATAGATTTAAAATAATTAAATAAGTTTGAACCATAATTTAAAACATTTCAATTTAAAACCAATTTCAAATTTTAAAAACCCACCATAAAATCAGGACAGCCCGGCTAACTGAAAGAAATAGGTTTTAAGGGCCCGACGAAAAGTCCGGAGGTCTGGGATCACTCGTATCTCTGGGGGTAGATTGTTCCAGAGGGTAGGTGCCACCACAGAGAAGGCTCTCCCCCTGGGGGTCGCCAGCCGACATTGTCTGGCCGACGGCACCCTGAGGAGGCCCTCTCTGTGGGAGCGAACTGGCCGGTGGGAGGCAATTGGTGGCAGAAGACGGTCCCGTAAGTACCCCGGCCCTAAGCCATGGAGCGCTTTAAAGGTGATCACCAACACCTTGAAGCGCACCCGGAAGTCCACCGGAAGCCAATGCAGCTCGCGCAGGAGAGGAGTCAGTGGAAAGAGCAGTTTAGTGATCTTTGTAACATCGCATTGACTTGTTGATGAGGCTGCCACAAAGAAGAGGGGATCTACTTATTTTCCAAAGCACCAGAAGACGAGACAAGAAATAAATGGATGGAAACTAATCAAGGAGGGAAGCAGCCTAGAATTAAGGAGAAACTTCCTAGCAGTGAGAACAATTAGCCAGTGGAACCGCTTGACTTCAGAAGTTGTGGGTTCTTAATCACTGGAGGTTTTTAAGAAGAAACTGGACAGCACTTCTCTAAAATGGTATAGGGTCTCCT